ACGCGGATACACGCACGTACAGGCGGGTACACGCACGTACACGCGCATACACGCACGTACACGCGGGTACACGCACGTACACACAGATACACGCACGTACACGCGGGTACACGCACGTACACACAGATACACGCACGTACACGCAGATACACGCACGTACACACAGATACACGCACGTACACGCAGATACACGCGGGTACACGCACGTACACGCGTGTACGTGCGTGTACGTGCGTGTATCTGCGTGTACGTGCGTGTCCACTCCGCAGACGTTGTGCAATCTGCCACACGTGGAAGAAATTATCAAACACGTGTGATATTTTCCACACGCAAGAAATCGATGCGTTTGCATGCGCACACGCTGTGTTTTGTGCTGCGCCATCAGCCACGCGTGGCCGATGGCGCAGCACAAAACACAGCGTGTGCGGCGGGCTTAGCGACACAACCACAACGACTTAGTGACATACTACCAATGACTGTACGGGTTATGCAATACAGTAGCTGGAAACCTGACAGGACACTGACACAATGGTTGTGTAAAATTATTCGTGCTGTTATGCGTGCAGACTCGCAGACAAGACCTTTCTATTTAACTTTCTACTTGAATGATTTTGCAATAAAGTGAACCGCTTACACTGCATAGCTACACTGCACTGCATAGCTGCACTGCTACACTGCATAGTTACACTGCATAGCTTGCGTGATGGCAAGGTTAAAAAGCGGCGTACCGCGTGATCATGAACTGAACAGAGATGATCGATGGAATACAGTGAAACCTTGATTTTACGCGTCCCGATTTAAAGCGAATTCGGATAATAACGCGACGAGTCATTGGACCTTTTTTTGCTCTTTCCGGAACTGAACAGTTTTTTGGCGAGTTAAGCTGGCCTTAGGTAGAAGCGCCGATCGCCTATAGATCGCGCAACTTCTGCTAGGCTAGAACGGTTTCCTACGATAGAGTTTGGCACAAATACGAAAATAACACGCTGTTTAGCGCACTGCGCTAGTTCTTTCTGTTGCATTTTCGCATCTCCGTAAACATAATAAGCCCCGCCTTCTTCGTTGATTGACATGAATGGGGCGTGTCGGCGTGACCGATTTTACCGGTTCCTGTACCTACCGTTTTTCGCCAGCCTATTCACTTTTCGTAAATAATGAAATGCCCGGCCGAGGCCGAGGAGAAAAATTTCCCGCATTTTCACTCGCTGTCGGAAGTGAACGAGTGCGTCATTCATTGAACATTTTTCATCAAAATACAGCCAATGTTTACATGCCACAGCGCCATCTCTTGAATGTTTTATAAGTAAATATGGGGAATAAAATAATGCGTTTTTAATGTATTTACCACGATTCACGTATAGAAACTATATGTTATTTTTACTGATTTCTCCATATCTTTCCTTGGAATTTTCATCGCCTTTCAATGCCTTTCCGTAAATTTTTCTGCGTGATTATTATTTTGCGCAGGCACTCATTTTGGAAATCCTCCAACATTTTTACTTCTTCCTTAGTTAAGTTAGTCCATGTTTCACTGTTATTTAGGAAAGAAGGTCAAACTGTGCATTCGTATAATTTCACTCTTGCTTCTATAGTACGATTTCCATAATTTTGCTCTTCTGCCCATGATAATAATATTATTTCGCTCATCATGAAACGGCTCATTATCAACATTTTTCAGTTCGGACTCTTATCATATCGTTATAACCTCCTATATCATTAATTAAATCCCCTAGGTATGAATAATTGGTGCATTTTTTGATTACTTGGTTGCCTATTGGCTTGGTTGCCTATTGCCTTGGTCTCCTTCGCTATCCTTTCTTTGTTTGTGAATTTTATAACCATTGTATTTGTTTTGTTCATATTAAATTCTAATCTTTTTGATTCAGCTAATCTGGAGCATGACTGAGCGATTTTTGTTACTGTTTTATAACCTCCAATTCCTAGAATATCGTCCATATATAATCATTGTCATCTTCTATAACTACAGACCATCCGCTGACCGCTGTGGAGACGTGCGCCGGTGTCTCGGATTTAGCGGACGTCTCCACTTCGGACAGCGCTTTATACTTGAACATCCCCGCGGTCGCGTGCGCATATCCCGTGTAACTGCGCGTCTCATCCGTGCGCAGCGCTCAGGATCAACAGCAAAGCTGTGCCACGCAATCTT